AAATACGCATATTGCACACCAGTAATATAAATCCTTGAAACAATAAATGCAGCATTTGTTATTCTCCTGAGCCATTCATGATAATTGGTCACAAGGGAAATGGGTTTGGAGCAAATCCTGGTCTCTAAAGGGTGTGTGGCTGCAGTGAAAATACTGTTTATGGATGACAAGCAGCTGACTTGCATGAAAGCATTTGGTTCTCATGGAGCGGCTGGGCCTACAGCTGGGATTCATGGTGTTAGTTTATGCATGTACCACTGCCCTCTCGTTAATGGGAGGTGGGATTTGTGATGGTGCCACCATCTAGTGGCTGGCCCTGATGAAGGACACGGGCTGGGTTAAACTAAGACAGTTGATGCCTTTGCTTTTCAGTTGGGAAAAAGAGCTGCTACACATAGTAGCTAGTGTGTGCCTGGATGAAATGACTTGGTAGTTACAAATGTCTTCACCGAGTTCTTTCCTTAGCTTGGCAAATACTTGTCTTAATCTCACATGTCCACTTCCCTCCCATTGGTCATGGCCCGTTTGTCTACTCCTTGCTTCATGAAAAGAATGCCTTCTGCTATCTCAGCTGTAAAGCCAATGTCCTCTTCTGCTTTGTGTCTTACCTTTGTGCCTGTTCTTCCTATGAATCCTTGAGAATACGGTGACAGAGTAAGGGATAAAGTTAGAAAGTTAGGTATGTGTGCATTTGGGCAAATAGCGTGTATGGGGCCGTTTTCTCCTATGCCCTTTCTGATTTGCTTGCCTTTATAAGACTTCATCCAGTGACATTTGGCAAAAGATGTAAGTGATTTCTGTGTGTATACCTGCACATGCAGACAGTTTGTACCACGCTAAAGATGCCAGTGAAATACAAACCATTAGCTGCTTGCACTATACTCGTCCTGTGGCGTATCTGAGCCATCTCTGTTTTCCTAAGCACTAACCTAGTTTACATTTAAAAAAAAAACCCCAAACCAAGGGAAAAGAGATAAATACATTAATCATTTGTAATACATTGTTAGATGTATTTCTTGAATCCTCAAACAGCAGTGTTATTTTCTTAACAATTTTTTTTTAGAATTTCAACTAAATATCCGGTTTTCTTTCTCTCTATTCTCTTCGTCATTTTTTTAATCATCAGTCAGATGTTGAAAAGCAGCTCTTATGTTTTCTCCTCTGAATCACAGTATGGCTGCCATGCTTATCTTATCAAGATTTATATCCTCATCTAATTTAACTTTTCATAAATAATTACAAATCACCCATGAGACATTGCCAACTGCTCCAGTCCCACAAAGTGACCTGACCCGAAACCCCAAAGTACTGAGAAACATTCATCTCTGAGTATTTTCATAGGCAGTACTTCAAAGGAATTGTGGTTTAAAAATATGCAGCTATTTTGGTGACCACTTGTGTGGGATAAAGTTTCCCATCAGTAATAGCAGGACTGTAATAGAGCTTCAGGGAGAAGGAAGGATTTCAGGGGAGCAGTCACAGCACCTTTTGCCTCATTCTGCTCAAGCAGTAAGAGTCTGCAGAAGTAAACAGTTGACTTTGTTAATGTAACATGGACTTAATTTGCAGCAAAAATACTGTAAATTTCTGATACTTTGCAATGGGTGAAAAAATTCCTCTGGCAAGTATGCATGGCCCCTGCTTAGTTAAGAACAATGATCTTTATCTTCTAACCAGGTGTGAAGAGTGGTCCAGCAGTATAACTGGTGAGCAGTGGTTTGAAGGAGCAAACACAGGAACTGGGAAACATGTGGCTGCAGATCTGTAGCTTGGAGCTCTGTTTTGGGCAGATTTACAAGTGGCTCTCATGCATGCAGGCTTAGGGTGTTGAAGCTGGACACGCAAGAGCAACCTCTGAGCAGTCCTGTCCATCCAGCATTTATCTCCAGTTACCCAGATGCATCTAATCCTCAGGGGTGGGAATTTACCCTCACTAAATACAGGGGGTAGACTTAAGTTGGAGTATCCTCTGCTCCTTGGCTAACAGCTTGACTTTTCCTTTAATATGGGAAAAATGGGGCAGGATGGGTTCTTTGTTCATTCCTAGCTTTTTAGTAAAGGAGGAAACTTACCTAGAAAAGTGACCATTTGGGTGATAAAGGCAATTTCTCTGATATATAGAGGACTTGACCCATTTACAAAAGGCTTGAAGTGACATCCCTCACTAACGTTATTAATGTTTTTTTTTTTTTAACTAGGTGAATTTGCCAGGGTGGTTTGTTCTTCTCCAACTTTACTGAGGAACAATAATCTGAAAATACAGGGATTTCTTAGTCCAGTCACAGATCCTTCCACCTGCTTGCAAGGGTAGCATTAGTTGAAATTGGGATGCTGTTAATGCGCTAGTGTAGATGCGCATTTTGAATCTTTGGTCCTGTGGTGAAGCTGTTGATTAGTCCATAAATCAAAGTTAGTTTGTTTCTGAAGTAGCTGTGCTACTGTAACTAGAAGTTAGAGGGCTGCCAAGCTAGCAGTGAAGTATATGAAAAAATGCTTTTAGATACTTTGTCAGCAATTGGGAATGTGCCTGTCATCTTTTATGCTGTGTTGTGGTTTGGAAACTAGCATTTTGCAATATTGCCTTTTAATATATTTCTTATCATTGTCAATAAGATTTCATTGTTGATGTCAGACCTGTTGGGCAAACACCACTTTTTTTTTTTTTTTTTTTGTAATTTCAGTATATCAGATTAAGGTAAGACTTTTGATACCCTTTGGTATAGACTCCAGCGTTAGTGAAGTGCCCTGGAATTCACAAAACATTAAAGAAATTGTGTTCTTTCTCATTTACCCTTAGGCAGTCTGGGTTTTGTAGCTTCATTAGTGGTTGTGATGATTGGGGGCAACAAATCTTTAAAGAACTTGGTTCTTCCATATTTGCAGTCCTCAAGGACATGCTTCAATGTAGCTAATAAATTTTGAAGAAGGGGTGAACAACTTGTTAAATAGCAGAATCAATAAAATTTTACTGGCTTTTACTGACACTGGATAATAGAAGTTAGGAAAAAAAAAATAAGAATGAAGCTTGACACTCAATGAATGAAGGTTTTGTTGGTCCTGTGAATCAAAGCCAGCAGGACTGTCTTACCTAGTTTAAAATTTATTTGAGAAGTCTGGCTGAAGCATAGGATATAAATCAGAGCAGAGTGAATTTGTCTTCATTTCACACCATCCTCATGGAACAAGTTCCAGAAACTGGTATGTGTAACCAGACCTGTCTCTTCCTTTAAATCTGTTCTTCAGATTATTCAGAAAGCTGGGACAAGCTTTTTGCCTCATTAATTTGGTCTAGGTAGTGAAAAAAACCTTAGCCTTCTCTTTTTCCTATTTTTCCAGTGGGCTTCTACAGCTGTTGGAAACCTAAATGAGCTAAGAAGCAACAAGGTGCTTGTGTACCAAAATGGATCCCTGAACTTTATTACTGCTTCTAGATAGTGCTGTAATGCAAATAATAACTGGTTAAGTTTTCCTGCTTGCAAAGGAGTACCTCCTCCTCTTTGTCTTCCTTTCATGCCTTCCTGTTTTCTGTAATGCATTAATGTGATAGATTCAGCAGAACACAGATGAAATGCTGCAGAAGATTGCGGTGAAAGCAGTACTTGGGTCCTGTGCAGGGAGTTATGATCAGGACCTTCATAGGCTCAGGGGAGATGGTGCATGTGGTCTGTTTTAGTTGCTGGTTTTCATTTGTCTGGAACCATTTGGTTGTGTATTCGGCAGAAGTGTGTTGTTTGCAGTGGTGTACCAATAGAAGCTTTATGTAAAAGTATCTGATATATCCTCTTCCACAAAAAAAAAAAAAAAAAGGTTCTAGGGGATTTATATATAACTATTACATCATTAATTGTGTTATGAGTGTGTTGCATTCTTTAGATTATTCTACTGCAATAATTTTCATAGCCCTAGTAGTAAGAAGCTTAATGAATAAAATTTTAGGTAAGATTTGCATGATTATGTTGTAGTTTTGGTGTTTCTATTGATTGATGGAATTCTGAGTTCCTTGTTGTGTTTTCTTGCCCTGTTTGTATGAGTGGTGTTTGGAATACAGAGTTTTCTAACAGCGATCCTTGTTCTTCCTAGGACTGGTCTTCTCCAATCTCATTTTCTGTAGACCTTGTAAAACTGAAGCCACTTCTGGTGCTTGTATAAGGTGATGTGATTGTTCTAAGGGAGTAGACTTTAGCTGAATAAGACCTGTCCTGTCGCTAAGCTTTACCCTGCTACTGAGATGAACAGGTGATTGCAGAACATTTTCAAAGAGGACTGATTGAACAGTAGCTTTTTTGGTGGAATGCTGTGAAAATACATGAGCAGGAGAACTCTTCATTGAGCACTGACTGTAACTACCCACTAGATTGTCAGCTTTAGTTTGTCTTCCAGGTGGCTTCTGGCTGGCCTGGCAGCTTTCACTGCGGACTGGATGGTTGCTGAACAATCGGGTTTTGCACAGTAGCCATTTGTTCAAAGGAGCTGTTTGTTGGGAGTTTTGAGGTATCTGAAAGGTGGCAACTGCAGTGAAATCCCCGGATAAGGGATATTCCAGTGTGCTGTAGTGTATTGTTCTGGCTATTGCGAAACAGAAGCTGCATTGGGTGCCCAAAAAACAATTTCAAAGTAGTAACTTGTTGAACATCATTCTGTATGTTGAGAGTTAAGACATTAAATGCAAACTGCATTCCAGTGGCTTGGTGCAAAGATTTTAACCCGTCCTGGTCGTAGCTATAGTCTGCTTTGCAGATTTCAGTGAGATGTCAGCATAGATAACGCTTGTTCTTATTCTTCACACAGAACTGGATTTCCTCTAAATAAATACTTGCTTTGGCATCCCATTTTGCATGCCTTCAGTGTGTATGAGATTTAGAATAAATGGAGGGGAAGGTTGGCCTGGAGTTTTGTTTTATTTTACAGAATAATTTATCTAAGTGGCTTTTTTGTAGTAGAGGGTTTAGCCTAAATGTTGTGTAAAGTTGTTTATAATTAGTTGTTATTTTTCTTCTCTTATGACAGTGATCCGAGCTAAAGTTGTGGGGAAGAAGCTCATGAAAGATGGACCATTTGGAACAATGAGATACACAGTCAAGCAGATGAAGGTATGTTTGCAGACATTCCACATAGGCTTGTAGATATGATAATTATTCTAATTAACACATAATATCAAATAGTGTTTGCATACTTAAAAGCACCTCATCTTTTTGTATTGGTCAGCCAGAACAGAAGGCAACCAGCAATTGGTAGAAATTTGCCTGGAGAGGGGAAAGGAGCAGGAAGAGGTCATTTCTGACATACAGTGTTGAATACCTGAATTCTTTCTTTATTTTAAAAATTTCTGGTAGTAGAAGATGCTAGATGGGCTGGAGTCCCGTTTGTGTTCAACATACACAGTGTTAGACTGTGGAACTGTAAGCTTTTCGATGCAGCACTTTCATTAAATTCAAGATGTGGTGATGGTAGGGGGTCTGCCAGCCTTGGGAGAGTGGTCTTTCATCTCTTCTTTCCTTGCATTCTTTGTGACCACCAGTTAGAATAATGGTATTTTTTTCCATATACAGAACAAATGAAACTTGTATAGTGAAGCCTTTGTATAGAAAGCTAGACCAAACACTGTAGCTTTCAAATATCATCCACTGAGAAGAGCTATAAAGTATTGACTCCGAGGTGAAAAGAGGTAGATTAGCTACACCAGTTGCTTGGTTTCCCTAGTTCCTCTTGTCAGCGCTCTAATTCTGCTGCACAAACTGCACTCAACCTGCTGCTGTGGACTTAGTTTTTTTTCTTAAACTGACCCCTTGTTATGTAATGCTAAAAATCAGCCCTAGATTGTTTTTCTTGGCTCTGCTATTCCAGTCATAAGACTGGTTTATGTCTTTAAGGGGGGGGAATGGAAAAGCTTGGCAGAGACTGCAGAAATCTGAAACATATTAGACAAAGTAAAGGTTCAGAAAAAAAAACAGTCACTTGCCTGCCTCGTAACAGTAACTCTCTTTATAAGGCAGTTTATAGCTAAGCACGAAAGCTGGGAGGAGGAGACGCAAAGCCTGTTTCATAAGCTGTCGCAAAACCGCACACGTAGCCAAATCTGGTCCTGGCATGGCTCTTCCACTGGAGTGGAATGCTTGTGCTTGGAATAAGAGGGCATGAGGTGCTGCGTTTGCTAATTTCCTTAATCTTAAAAATTTATTTTTAAGATTCAGGAGCAAATATATATTTGTTGATTAACTTGTATTTGTAAAAAAGGCAACTGGCTTTGTTGGCAACAGTGAGACAATTTTTAATTTTTTTTTAATGGCTATCCCTGGCCTCATCAGGCTTGTACCACTCTGTGCTGTTCTTGGCTAGCTTTGTCACTCTCCAGGTCAGCCAGTGCACCCCACTTCACAAAACTGCTCAACATCCACATGCTGCAGTGGCTTCATCAACTTTTCTTTTTCTTATTTCATCCTGGTCTGTCCAGGACTCCTACTTCCCCTCCTACTCAGTTCCAAGAGTTTGGTGCTTCCTTTCTAAAATATGACTATGAACAGGGTCCAGTGGTGATCTAGAATAACAGTAGTCCCCAAAATGTTTTACTGCCCTTTACCAACCATAATGCTATCCTCTCTCCTAACTAATGATGCCTCCTGCCCTGCTGTCAGCCAGTGAGCTGCAGCGTCAGAGATCTCTGGAACAGCATTGAGCATTCCTCCTCTGACCTAGAAGCCTGCAGCAGAGTCCCTGCTGTGGATAGAAAAGGCTTCTATGTGTCTTTTGGTATAGGAGGAGCATAAGCCAGGGCAAGGTGAGCATGTTGAGTGGAGCAGCAGCCACTCTACTGTCAATAGATGCCATCATGTCAATCTTTAAATAAGATGCCAGGGCCTGTCCTGGCTGTTTTCATTGGGTTATTCTGCAGCACAGGGCCAAGGTGTTTACAGCAGATATTGCAGTAACCTGCAGTGTCCTCGTGCCAAGACCACAAGAGAACAGCTGCCTTTTTGCAGGAGCAGTTCCACAGTATTTTGTTAGGAAGCTACATGTCCAACAAAAGCAAGAGTGATTTTAAAGGGGAGATCCTGCGTTGGTTACACTGCCTCTATGCGTGGTGCATGGATGGTGGGCAGGTGAGATGTTGCATTGCACATTTAACTGTGACCTTGGCAGGAAGGGACCTGAAGTGTTCAGTAGAACTGGAATGTCCGGAGGACATAGTTCTTGATAAACAAACAAACTAAGAGTCTTCTTTGAAACCCTGCTGTCTTTCTTCTGAGCTTAGAGACTTCAGTATAAAGAGGGATTCAGCTCCATACAGTGGGCGAGCTCAGAATGACGTGGCAAATCTCTCCC